AAAATACAGAAAACAAAATTATCCTATGTCTTAAACCTCTGTTAGCCTCAGATCTGTATAGTGCTTTAAAAGATCTATATAGCATTCTACCTCATTTGCATCTAACCATTCTAAGAGGTGGCTGCTATTATTATTTATCTTTTTCAAAAAATGAAATAAACTGGCTTAGTGCTGCGGCACATGTTTGTAATCTCAGCATGACGGGAGGCCGAAGTGGGAGGATCATTTGAGGCCAGCAGTTTAATACCAGCATGGGGAACATGGGGAGACCCTGTCTCTACTTTAAAAACAAACACAAATAAATAAATATTGTTTTTAAAAAATGAAATAAGTTGATTTGTTTAAGGTAAGATGACCAGCCTAGCTGGTCTTATGACTCTTAATGTCTCTGTTTTATGTAGACCCTTGTCTATAGTGTGGAGTCGTTAAAAATAAATATTGTATATAGCAATGCAGTGAAACACTGTCTCTACAAAAAAATGCAAAAATTAGCATTTTTGTTCACGCCTGTGGTCCCAGCTACTCGGGAGGCTAAGGTAGGAGGATCATTTCAGCTGGGGAGGTTGAGACTGTAGTGAGCTGCCATCATGTCACTGCACTCCAGCCTGGGAGAGCGAGACCTGGTCTCAATAAATAAATAAGCTAATAAATTAAAATAAATGTGTAAGCTGTGTGTGAATATAAGGTAGGATAGGTGAACACATACCAGAATTACCGAGGGGATGAAAAACTCAAGATCATTTTTCAACTTATTTTCCAACTAACCATTCATTATTTTGGCTATCTTAAAATTATTCTATATCCCAGTGAGTATGTGAAATATAAATCCATCAAATAATATTTCCAAGAAAAATTAGCTAAGGTGATGTAATTTTTTATTACAGGTATAACATCTGAACAATTATAACTATCAAGAAAGGGTAAAGTAATTTAAATAAATTCAATTTTCAAAAATACAAAATATGTTTTAATTGGAAATTACACATACAATAAAAATATTTTTCTTGGAAACAAGTATACAATTCAGGATGGTGACAACTTGTTAAGTACAGCAACAGGGGAAGGTGATACTTGTTAGGTATGGCAACATAGGTATATGATCCAGGGACGGGCCACAGGAAAACTATCTACAAACAATTCTTCTAAAATAACTAAAACTTAGCATTAACATAAAGACTGAGAGATGAAATGAAAATGAAATGAACACTTTTTAGAAACTGGCTGGGCATGGTGGCATACACCTGTAATCCCAGCACTTTGGGAGGCCAAGGCAGGCAGACCACATGAGGTCAGGAGTTTAAGACTGGCCTGGCCAACACGATGAAACCCTCTCTCAACTAAAAATACCAAAAAAACAAACAAACAAACAAAAAAACTAGCCGGGCATAGTGGCACATGCCTGTAGACCCAGCTATTCAGAAGGATGAGGTAGGAGAATTGCTTGAACCTGGGAGGCAGAGGTTGCAGTGAGCTGAGATCACACCATTGTACTCCAGCCTGGGTGACAAAGAGAGATGCCGTCTCACCCAAAACAAAAACAAAAACAACAACAAAAAAAACAAACAAAAACCCTATTACTGTTATTCCATTTTTCTAATAGAAAGCTGATTTCGGCCAGGTGCAATGGCTCACACCTGTAATCCCAGCACTTTGGGAAGCAGAGGCAGGCAGATCACTTGAAGTTAGGAGTTTGAGAGCAGCCTCGCCAACATGGTAAAACCCTCCACTAAAGTCTCTAATAAAATACAAAAAATTAGCTGGGCATGGTGGCACGTGCCTGTAATCTTAGCTATTCAGGAGGCTAAAGCAGGAGAATCACTTGAACCCAGGAGGTGGAGGTTGCCGTGAGCTGAGATCACACAACGGCACTCCAGCCTGGTGACAGCGCAAGGCTGTCTTAAAAAAAAAAGAGTGAAACTTGATTTCAGAAGAAAAAAATCCAGTTGATTCCAATTTATCTAAGACGCTTATATCTCTTTTTTAGAATCCTCTTAAAACTCATTAACTCTGTAAAATGAAGCATATTCTCATTTCAATGAAAAGTCTTTTCAAAGGATGTCACACGCACCTTATTTCATGTGGAAAAACCTCATCATAATTCTAAATTGACCTCAGTTTTTCACTTACATTAAAATGTGTGTGTAAAGCCTATCTTATTATTTCAACTTCCTTAGTTCACCCAATTGCATGTAGCATTTATGGAAATTTGAACACTACTTTCAGTTTCCAATGCCCTCTTCTTTTTAACATTTTAGATTAGAGATATTACTTAAACAATGTTATCAGGAAAAAGAACTAAAGATGACTAACTCTTAAAGATAACTGGAATGAGCTGAAATAAAGAGCTTAATTTCTATCACCACTTCAGAAATATATAGAGTCTTAACACAGCAATATTATGGCTGGGCGTGGTAGCTCATGCCTGTAATCCCAGCACTTTGGAAGGCCGAGGTGGGCAGATGGCTTAAGCTCTGGGGTTTGAGACCATCCTGGACAACATGGCAAAAACCCATAAAAAAAAAAAAAAAAAAAAAATAGCCAGGCATGGTAGCTCATGCTTCTAGTCCTAGCTACTCGGGAAGCTGAGGTTGGGGAATTGCTTGAGTCCAGGAAGCAGATGTTGCAATGAGCCAAGACTGCCACTGCACACCAACCTGGGCAACAGAGTAAGACTCTGTCTCCAAACAAACAAACAAACAAATGAAGAATTTGCATTGCTCACAAATTTCCAGGTGATGCTGATGATCTGGGGACCACACTTTGAGAACCACTGGTTAAAAATAATGTCCATGAGTTGGGCTCAAATCAGGGCTTAATATGTACAAATAACATTTGGGCAAACGAAAGAAAAACCTCATTTATATCTCTAAAATGGAGTAACTGCAACTAACCCAACTTTCCCCTTGCTACTATTAATTACAACTATCTGGTCTAAACTTAGGAAATCTCTCAATTTTATTCAGTATTTCCAGTTTCATCCAAATGAATGGCAAGTAGCACATTTTACATATACAAATGTCTATACACAGATATTCCATGTCTGTTTCCTCATCCAAAATCTTCTTGTTGCTTGTGTTATCCTTCACATTTGATCCTCTATTACTTCATGGCTTTCCTAAAATATTTATCCACAGTGACAATGCCCCTTGTCCTACTATTTATTCTCTATTTGCCTTATCTTAGATACCAATTTTACCAAGGTCATAACTCACTGAATTTAACATTTCTTTTCTATTAATAATACAGCATCTATACTGATATAACTAAGAATCTTAATTCGGATTTCTGTGTGTTCTCAAATCTGGCAAAGCAGAGTGTTTATTTTTCTTCCCCTTTATTTTGAAGAATAGTGCAATGCTGTTGGATTGATTATTTTTAACAAAAATTTTATTAAGTGTTCAAGGCTACACTAAAAGCTGGAGTTATTTTAGCTTAAGTTCATAAAATTAGTGTTTCATAATCAGCCACTATGTGTACCCTGAACATGCAACTCTTTCCTTCTTAGAAGACTTAATTGTGGTATCTACATTTTAAAATGTAACAAATAAACAAATGAAATGAAAGGAACCTAGGACATACTTGCATAATTGTTGAGATCAAACTGTGACAGAGCATCCACTTTCTCTTTGGGTTTTTTAGGACCTGGTTTGGGGTCTTCTCGTTTTTTCCCAGTAGAATCTTTGGAGTTCTTCTGTCCTGTACCATTAGATACTCCTTCCTGATGGTGTGCAGAGCTGCCATTGACAAAGTCAACCCCAGTTGTGCCTGCAGACTGGTCATCAAATGGCCTACAAAAAAATATCTTGAGATATTACTATTTCAACCTATCCAAACAAAAGAAAAATGCTTATTGGCAGTTTCTGAAGTTCATTCTAAGATGAAACACTGTTGGGATAGAAAACCCTAACTGTAACCAAACAAGCATTAGTGACTTCTGTTGAATACAATCTCACTAAAACCAATTTTCCTAATAAAGTAGACTAGCTCCCTAGAGTTCTTTCCAGCAATTATATTCTACAATTCTAATTATACCAGAAGTTCTTAGAGTCTATTTGTCTATCATTTTATAAATGAGCTAATTAACAGTTTATAGCAGAAAATTTCTGTGATCCAAGCAAGTTCAAAGTATTCACAAATGAATGCTCCCCAAAAGTGGCCAGCATATAAAAACAAAAATTTTAAAGAGCATTCCATAATTACAACTATGTACATTTTAAAAAATACTATCAGATTTACATATTGATATAATTACTTGAAAAACCTTTAATATGGAAATAATTCGCTTCACAAACCAAATGTTATCTCCTACAGTTCTTAACAGTTCTTATTTCCTAAAAGAATAACTTTCGGGTTTTTAAAAAAAAATTTCCAAGTGAAACTGATCATGGGAAATGGGTGTGTACTAATTCATTTCCACCTTAGCCTATCGTATTACTCAAGATAAAAGCTTACTAGGTGCCTGGCCATAACCTCAAACATTTGAAGAATGAGTTCATTTCTTCTACATGGTACTCTTATAAAACATTCGATTATAATTAGTCACTGCCATTTCTACAGGTTCAAAGTTATTGCTATCTATCTACATGGCACAAAAATCATATCAAAATAGTCCCTGAGTATTGTTACTTAAAATTCTAATAGTTTGGTTACAGCAAATGAACTATCCTGCTGAGTATTTTGGTTATCCTGATTCTCTTGGAATTTTAAAGGGATGTTCAAATTCCAAGTTTAAAATTTCCCTTTTAAAAATTATCTGGAATAGCAAAAATACTTTCCCTAAAACTGTGGTTTGCATGTATCCCTCAAAATTCATGTTTGGGCAGTAGCTCACGCCTGTAATCCCAGCACTTTCAGAGGCGAAGCCAGGCGGATTACCTGCCAGGAGTTTGAGACCAGCCTGGCTACCATGGCAAAACCCTATCTCTTCAAAAAAAAAAAAAAAAAAAAAAAAAAAAACAAAATACAGAAAACAAAATTATCCTATGTCTTAAACCTCTGTTAGCCTCAGATCTGTATAGTGCTTTAAAAGATCTATATAGCATTCTACCTCATTTGCATCTAACCATTCTAAGAGGTGGCTGCTATTATTATTTATCTTTTTCAAAAAATGAAATAAACTGGCTTAGTGCTGCGGCACATGTTTGTAATCTCAGCATGACGGGAGGCCGAAGTGGGAGGATCATTTGAGGCCAGCAGTTTAATACCAGCATGGGGAACATGGGGAGACCCTGTCTCTACTTTAAAAACAAACACAAATAAATAAATATTGTTTTTAAAAAATGAAATAAGTTGATTTGTTTAAGGTAAGATGACCAGCCTAGCTGGTCTTATGACTCTTAATGTCTCTGTTTTATGTAGACCCTTGTCTATAGTGTGGAGTCGTTAAAAATAAATATTGTATATAGCAATGCAGTGAAACACTGTCTCTACAAAAAAATGCAAAAATTAGCATTTTTGTTCACGCCTGTGGTCCCAGCTACTCGGGAGGCTAAGGTAGGAGGATCATTTCAGCTGGGGAGGTTGAGACTGTAGTGAGCTGCCATCATGTCACTGCACTCCAGCCTGGGAGAGCGAGACCTGGTCTCAATAAATAAATAAGCTAATAAATTAAAATAAATGTGTAAGCTGTGTGTGAATATAAGGTAGGATAGGTGAACACATACCAGAATTACCGAGGGGATGAAAAACTCAAGATCATTTTTCAACTTATTTTCCAACTAACCATTCATTATTTTGGCTATCTTAAAATTATTCTATATCCCAGTGAGTATGTGAAATATAAATCCATCAAATAATATTTCCAAGAAAAATTAGCTAAGGTGATGTAATTTTTTATTACAGGTATAACATCTGAACAATTATAACTATCAAGAAAGGGTAAAGTAATTTAAATAAATTCAATTTTCAAAAATACAAAATATGTTTTAATTGGAAATTACACATACAATAAAAATATTTTTCTTGGAAACAAGTATACAATTCAGGATGGTGACAACTTGTTAAGTACAGCAACAGGGGAAGGTGATACTTGTTAGGTATGGCAACATAGGTATATGATCCAGGGACGGGCCACAGGAAAACTATCTACAAACAATTCTTCTAAAATAACTAAAACTTAGCATTAACATAAAGACTGAGAGATGAAATGAAAATGAAATGAACACTTTTTAGAAACTGGCTGGGCATGGTGGCATACACCTGTAATCCCAGCACTTTGGGAGGCCAAGGCAGGCAGACCACATGAGGTCAGGAGTTTAAGACTGGCCTGGCCAACACGATGAAACCCTCTCTCAACTAAAAATACCAAAAAAACAAACAAACAAACAAAAAAACTAGCCGGGCATAGTGGCACATGCCTGTAGACCCAGCTATTCAGAAGGATGAGGTAGGAGAATTGCTTGAACCTGGGAGGCAGAGGTTGCAGTGAGCTGAGATCACACCATTGTACTCCAGCCTGGGTGACAAAGAGAGATGCCGTCTCACCCAAAACAAAAACAAAAACAACAACAAAAAAAACAAACAAAAACCCTATTACTGTTATTCCATTTTTCTAATAGAAAGCTGATTTCGGCCAGGTGCAATGGCTCACACCTGTA